TACTGTCTTGTCGTGGTGAAGGGGCTTGCGTAACTCAATGAAGCTGTGAGCTATGCTGTGCAGGGCCACCCAAGATGGACAGGTCATAGCAGAGAGCTCTGACAAAATGTGATCCACTGGAGAAGGAAATGGCAACCCAGTCCAGTATCTTTGCCATGAAAACCCCAGGGACAGTACCAAAAGGCAAAAATATATGACGCTGGAAGATGAGCCCCTCAGGTCAGAAGGTGTCCAATATGCTACTGGGGAAGAGCAGAGGGCTAGTACTAGTAGCACCAGAAAGAGTGAAGTGACTGGGCCAAAGCCGAAAGGACGCTCAGCTGTAGATGCATCTGGTGGTGAAAGGAAAGTCCGATACTGTAAAGATCTTTTCTCCATAGGAACCTGGAATGTAAGATCCATGAATCAAGACAAACTGGATGTGGTCAAACAAGAGATGACAAGACTGAACATCGACATCTTAGGAATCAGTGAACTAAAATGGACAGGAATGGGTGAATTTAATTCAGAGGACGATCAGGTATACTACTGCGGGCAAGAATCCCTCAGAAGAAATGGAGTAGCCTTCATAGTCAATAAAAGAGTAGGAAAAGCAATACTGGGATACAATCCCCCAAATGACAGAATGATCTCAGTACGAATCCAAGGCAAACCATTCAATATCACAGTAGTCCAAGTCTATGCCACAACCACTGGTGCTGAAGAGGATGAAATTGACCAGTTCTATGAAGCCCTACAGGACCTTATAGAATCAACACCAAAAAATGATGTCCTTATCATCATGGGGGATTGTAATGCTAAAGTAGGAAGCCAAAAGATAACTGGAATAATAGGCAAGTTTGGCCTTGGAGTACAAAAAGAGGGCACAGGCTGATAGAATTTTGTCAAGAGAATACAATGGTCATAGCCAACACTCTTTTCCAACAAGAGATGGCTCTATACATGGACATCACCAGACGGTCATACAAAAATCAGATTGACTATGTGCTCTGCAGCCAAAGATGGAGAAGTTCTGTACAGTCAGTAAAAACAAGACCAGGAGCTGACTGTGGCTCAGTTCATGAGCTTCTCGTTGCAAAATGTAGGCTTAAATTGAAGAAAGTAGGGAAAAACACTAGGCCACTTAGGTATGAAATAAACCATATCCCTGATGAATATACAGTAGAGGTGACAAATAGATTTAAGGAATTAGATCTGATAGACAGAGTGCCTGAAGAACTATGGACGGAGGTTCGCAACATTGTACAAGAGGTAGCAACTAAAACCATTCCAAAGAAAAAGAAATGCAAGAAAGCAAAATAGCTGTCTGAGGAAGCTTTGCAAATAGCTGAGGAAAGAAGGGAAGCGAAAGGCAAGGGAGAAAGAGAAAGATACACCCAATTCCAGAAAAACATCTACTTCTGCTTCATTGATTATGCTAAAGCCTTTGATTGTGTGGATCACAACAAATTGTGGCAAGTTCTTAAAGAGTTGGGAATACCAGACCATCTTATTTGTCTGTTGAGAAACCTATACACAGGTCAAGAAGCAACAGTGAGAACCGGACACGGAACCACTGATTGGTTCAAAATTGAAAAAGGAGTCCGGCAAGGCAGTATTCTGTTGCCCTGCCTATTTAATTTATATGCAGAGCACATCATGAGAAAGGCAGGGCTAGATGAATCAAAAGTTGGAATTAAGATTGCCAGGAGAAATATCAACAACCTAAGATATGCAGATGATACCACTCTAATGGCAGAAAGTGACGAGGAACTAAAGAGCCTCTTGATGTGGGTGAAGAAGGAGAGTGCAAAAGTTGGCTTGAAACTCAACATTAAGAAAACCAAGATCATGACATCCAGCCCTCTCAATTCTTGGCAAATAGATGGGGACGTAATGGAGGTAGTGACAGATTTTATCTTCCTGGGCTCCAAGATCACCACAGATGGGGACTGCAGCCAAGAAATTAAAAGATGCTTGCTCCTGGGGAGGAAAGCTATGACAAATCTAGACAGCATACTAAAAAGCAGAGACATCACCCTGCCAAAAGTACGTACAGTCAAGACCGTGGTTTTCCCAGTTGCAATGTATGGCTGTGAAAGTTGGACCATAAGAAAGGCTGAATGCAAAAGAATTGAGGCCTTTGAACTATGGTGCTGGAGAAGACTCCTGCGAGTCCCCTGGACTGCAAGGCGATCAAACCGGTCAGTCCTAGAGGAGATTCACCCTGATTGCTCTTTAGAAGGCCAGATCCTGAAGTTGAAACTCAAGTACTTTGGCCACCTAATGAGAAGGAAGGACTCACTGGAGAAGAGCCTAACGCTGGGAAATATTGAGTGCAATAGAAGAAGGGGACGACAGAGAATGAGGTGGCTGGATGGAGTCACTGAAGCAGTAGGCGTGAGCTTAAATGGACTCCAGAAGATGATAGAGGAAGGTCTGGAGGAACGTTGTCCATGGGGTCGCAATGGGTCGGACACGACTTCGCAACTAACAACAACAACAACTGACCTGCATGTCAAAATATCACATGTCTGAATGAATTAATGTCAAAAATGTGTTCCAAAAGAGGAAAAAAATAGCTCAACATTTGGAAATTACGCTCAATCTAAAACAAACTTAAGGATTTTATTTTCCCCTATTACATATGCTTGGAGCCCTCAATAAGCTAGTAAAATATCTAGGCTAATTTTTTGATTCAGGAAATTAAAACAGAAAAAAATTATCTTGGTTTTTTTCATATTACAAAGAATAGGTGGAAAGCAATCCATAGCTTATATTATTTTCCAAAGCGCCTGGAGGCAGGATAAGAAGCAACGGGTGGAAACTAATCAAGGAGAGAAGCAATCTAGAACTAAGGAGAAACTTCCTGACAGTGAGAACAATTAACCAGTGGAACAATCTGCCTTCAGAAGCGGTGAATGCTCCAACACTGGAAGTTTTTAAGAAGAGACTGGACAGCCATTTGTCCGAAATGGTATAGGGTTTCCTGCCTGAGCAGGGGGTTGGACTAGATGACCTTCAAGGTCCCTTCCAACTTTACTATTATTATTATTATTATATTATTATTATCTATAAACTATGGAATCAAATATAACTGAAAAGCCAGATAAGGCATCCTATCCCTGGTTTAGATGCCTACCTATGATATGAAAGTAAATGGAACATCAACATCTACTGCAATAGTGCTATTCCAATATACATAACATCAATTCACACCATGCTTACATCACGGGGAAAGATAAATATATTAGTAAACATACCTTCTACTTAGCTGTTTTCATAATTCTTTCCCTGATGCAACTATTTAGGTCATAGTCTACTTTCACTACATAATAATAGAAACATCTCAGCGTCAGTCTGAGTTGCTTAGTTCCATGTTGTATTTTGTCTGTTGACGATTATTTGTATTAATCTTAAATGTTGATCTTATCCCAAATGTTGATCTTATCATATTGCCTATATTATCTACCCTGGATAATTGCCTATATTATATATTGCCTATATTATCTTATATATTGCCTATATTATCTACCCTGTGACTGGATTTGAAATACTTAGGTATTTTAATGTAATTCTTCATTTTCCCTTTGACATATGGCTCTATTAATAAGATTCCAGCCTCACAGTAAACAACAACAGCACAAGATATTTACTTAGTTTTTGGAACAAAACTATGCACAGGCGCCAAGATGTAACAGTTTAGTAAGGTCCCCAGTCATAATGATTCATTTATCAGCACTTACTGTACGAAATGCATCTCTCTTAAAAAAAACATTTAGATAACTATCTGTTGTCAACAAAATTACATCAGTTTCAGATTTCTAAATTTACCTCAAAAATCAGTTTGGACTAATGATTTAGGGCACTGGACTAACATTAGAAAGACCCAATTCTAGTCCTACCTTAGGCACAGAAACCAAATGAGTGACTTTGAGCCAGTCACTCTTTCTCACCTTAGGAAACTACATGGACTTGCCTGTATATTACCATAAATCATGTCCAATGCAACATTTAAAAAAATCAGTTTGTAAATATAGTATTTATTCTGTCTCATTTGCAAAACTATTTATCTATTAACAATAACTTGCAGTGCACAAATTGTTGAAATTTACCCTCATTTGTGAATATATTCTAGTTTTTTGGCTCTACAAATAGTATAATTTCTTATTGCAATATCAAATGAACTTTGTATACAGCATTGTTTTTAAATCTTGAGGGTCTTATAAGTTGAAAAAATAGTATTTACTTCTATATTTCAATGCATTATCCTGAACAGAATAACAGATAGATAGATAGATAGATAGATAGATAGATAGATAGATAGATAGATAGATAGATAGATAGATAGATAGATAGATGGATGGATGGATGGATGGATGGATGGATGGATGGATGGATGGATGGATGGATGGATGGATGGATGGATGGATGGATGGATGGATACTGAAATTAGATACACCTGAGGAACCTCCCATGGCAGAAGATTATTTAGCTAGAAACAATTAATATATTTTCTATATATTTTCTGTGCTTCAGCCAAACAAAGTTATTTCTACTGATTCCCAAAATATGTTTTCATATGTATTGCAGATCTTTTTGATAATCTAAAAGAGACCCAATGTCAATCAAATCTGAATTGGCATAAATATGCAATAAAAGAATCCCTTTTAAGGTACTTTTAACATTACCAAATTACAAATCAACCATCCACATAGAAACAAAGTAAGGTAAAAACTAAAAACAACATTGTTGCTAAGATTACATAATTCTAGTGCAACTTAATGTTAGTTAAACATAGGCTTAAACAGAGAGTTATCTAATCATATAATTATTACCCTGAAACAAATGGGATTTAAAATAAGCTTGACTAGGTGATGCCATTTGTATTTTATTCTAAAACATTTTTCTGTATTTGATTGCATATATTGATTTCATAGCTGTAAGTGTAATAATTTCTATGGAAGGCAATAAAATATATATGATGCATTTATTTAAAAAACAAGTTTTATTTAACTTACAGGTTGAAGTAGGTATATTAAGGAACACTCTTGAATAACTATGATGGGAAAAGAGGTTATCTTAACTGCATGGAAGAGGGTTTCCACAGATGCCATGATTTGGTCAAAGCGACCTCCAAGTCCACCCAAAGTTATAATCATGTCCATCTAACAGAAATACAAAATGCACACAGAGAAAAAAATAAATAGAATGTTTAAAAAAGGTCCAAAATATAAAATATAAATACATATGTTTACAAAGCATAAATATAATTTGAGATGTTGAACAGATTTCAGAAATATCAACAATATATTTATAATGGTAGGAGAATTTATAAAATAAGCATATTTGAAGACATTAGCCTCATTCATTTCAATCCTCATCTTTTTAGATGATGATGATGACGATGATGATATAAATATCTTGGTCTTGATTTTCTAGGGTTATAATAACCAAGTCTAGGAACATTTCATTGCTTTTCTGAATGCATTTTAATGGCAAATCATGGAAGACAAAGCAAATAACAGCTCAAAGTTGTGATGGCTCTATATTACATCCAATAACAGAGACAGTAGACTTTGAAAATCAGTTGCTAAGTAATATGAGTAGGAGGATTATTACTAAAATGAAAGGCTCGGCTAGATAAGCTCTAGGTCCTGGAGCTAACAGAACTTTTTAGAGACTAGACTAGACTATAATATTTTATTTGGTCAAGTATGATTAAATGCACAAGGAATTTTTCTCCGGTGCAGAAGGTCTCAGTGTAGATGCAAAATAATAGAATAGTCATCATAATACCAAAAAGAGGGGGTAGAAATATAAGAAGACTAATACTAATATTATGGTCATACAACATGGTCATACATAGACATTAGACAGTACTGTGAGAGTTAGGTGTTCAGCAGAGTGATGGCACAAGGAAAAAACCCTGTCCCTATGTCTAGTTATTTTAGATGCCCTATAGTGGCATTCTGAGGGAAAGAGTTGAAACATCTTTATGTCCAGGATGTGAGGGTCTGTAGATGTTTTCTCAGTCCTTCTTCTGATCTGCGCAATATACAGATCTTTTATGGAAAGCAGACTGGTTGCAATTGTTCTTTCTGCAGCCGTAACTATCCATTGGAGTCTGTACCTTTCTTGTTTGGTTGCTGTATCAAACCAGACAATTATAGAAGTACAAATGACAGATTCAATAATTCCTCTATAAAACTATATCAACAGGTCCTAGGGCAGTCTGAACCTCTGGAGTTGCTGTAGGAAGAATATTCTTCGTTCTGCCTTTTTAATGATGGTTCTAGTGTTGGCAGGTCCATTCCAAATCCTGGAAGATTATAGAACTCAAAAACTTGAAGAACTCTACTGCTGATACTGTGCTGCCAAATATAGTAAGAGGTGGAAGAATAGAAGGGCTCTTCTTAAAATCTACTCTCATCTTTACCATTTTAAGCATGTTCATCTCCAGACTGTTCTGGTTGCACCACAGGGCCAGTTGTTGAACTTCCCATCTGCAGATTCATCACCATCTCGAATAAGCCCACAGTAACTGTTGCATCATCTGCAAACTTCAATATTTTAACAGAGGGATGCAGAGATGAGCAACAGAGAGAACACAGCCTTGAGGGGGGTTGTGCTAATTGCTCAGATATTAGATGTAATTTTCTCTAGCTTCACCTGTTGCTTCCTATATATCAAAAAGCTAATAATCCACCTAAAAGTATGGACAGGTACTGCTAGCTTAATCAATTTAAAATGAAGAATTTATGGAATGATTATTAATTTCTACATATTTATATGTGAAGCATATAAGTATATTTCTACACAATTTGAAACATGTTTTTAACCCTTATTTAAAAAAGATGGTTGGTAGAAGAGCCTAAAATGAGCCCCAAATTTAACATTCACAGTTGTGTTTGTTTTCTGTGAGAGATATTATCTTTTCATATACTTAGTGGTGCTTATGGTATCAATATAATGATTGAAATAAGACCCATGCTCACTTGCCTGTATCATTTCTCACTTTACACAGATGGATGGATGGATGGATGGAAGGAAGGAAGGAAGGAAGGAAGGAAGGAAGGAAGGAAGGAAGGAAGGAAGGAAGGAAGAAAGAAGATATTATTCTAGGTTACTGGACTATCTTCAGAGAGATTGCTCCTTTTTCTATGTGTGTTAATATTTCTGTTTTTATGATGGGAGAAAGAGTAATCTGTTTTGAAATAGAGCTGTGGACTGTGTCATTGTTTACATGCAATATATTCTACAGTAAAACTCCAAAGTGAAGAATGAATCCATCCTCTAGAATTTGGCACTAAGATTTGTGGATCTTACTTCTTTTTCAGAATTAGTACATGTAACATGTATGATATTTAATTCATTGTGTTTCAGTTTTAATTGCATAAAGACATATTATGATACAAAAAGTAAAAGGTGTTCTTTTAGGGATGAAGGATTTAGAAAAGTAAATAAAAATTAAAGGAAAGAACATGGGGATTTGTAGAATTTTGTCAATATGTACCCAAACATAAAACATAATATTGATGACAAGTTTTTGAAACATCCAAAAACTAATAGGGAAAATTTTAGTTTCAAATGATTGAAATAGAGTAATTATTAGTGATAGACTAAGGATTAGAGGTGATATTATAGCATGTTCTAATATTTAAGGGGCTACCATAAAAAAGAGAGGGTCAACCTATTCTCCAAAGACCTGAAGGCAGGACAAGAAGTAATGGATAGAAACTAATCAACCTAGAACTAAGGAAAAATTTCCTGAGAACAATTAATCAATGGAACAACTTGCCTTCAGAAACTGTTGTGCTCTAACATTGGAGATTTTTAGAAGAGATTGGACAACCATTTGTCTGAAATAGTTCCAAAAGATATAAATTTACCTTTCGGCCCAGAGGGCAAGTGTTGCACAATGGATGTTTATATGTGCATCCACACACCATGTAGTGTTACTACATTATATTTAGCCATGGATTGTTTAATCATGGCTTATTGACTAAGATATAATTTTCTGGGACTGTCCAATATGTTAATACCTAAGTAATAAAACATGAATTATTGAATAGCATTGTGGAAACATATGGTTATGGATCTCCTCTAAAAAAAGAAACTCTAACTACATCAGCTCTTTCCCAATCCTCTGGTAGTTCCTCAGTGCTCCAGGATCTTTGAAAGATATAGTTCAGTGGGCACTGGGAAACTACCAGAGGACTGGAAAAGAACTGATTTGTTCCCATCTTCAAAAAAAGAAGAAAAATGGATCCAGGAAACCACAGACCTATCAGCCTGACCTCAATACTTGGGAAGATTCTGGAAAAGATAATCAAACAACAAATCAGCTAACACCTAGAGGCAAACAAAGTCATTACCAAAAGCCAACATGGGTTTGTCAAAAACATATCATACCAGACAAATCTTATTGCATACTTTGACCAAGTGACAAAATTAGTGGAATGCTGTAGATATAATTTACTTGGACTTCAGTAAGGCATTTGATAAAGTAGATCACAACCTACTACTTGATAAGATAGAAAAATGTGGGTTAGACAGCATTATCACCAGATGGATTCGTAACTGGCTGACTGGCCCTACTCAGCATGTGGTCCTCAATGGAACTGCATCTACATGGAAGGAAGTGTGTAGTGTGGTGCCCCAGAGCTCTGTTCTGAGCCCAGTGCTCTTCAACATCTTCATCAACGATTTGGATGAGGGGATAGATGGGGAACTCATCACATTTGCAGACGACACCAAGCTGACAGGAATAGCCAATACTCCAGAAGATAGGCTTAAGATACAGAAGGATCTTGACAGACTTGAACATTGGGTTCTAACAAAATGAAATTCAGTGGTGAAAAAAGTAAGGTTCTACATTTAGGCAAGAAAAACCAAATGCACAAGTACAGCATAGGTGGCACCTTGCTCAATAGTAGTAACCGTGAGAGGGACCTCGGAGTCCTAGTAGACAATCACCTAAATATGAGCCAGCAGTGTGCTGCAGCTGCCAAAAAGGCCAACACAGTGCTAGGCTGCATTAACAGAGGGATAGAATCAAGATCACATAAAGTGTTAATACCACTTTACAATGCCTTGGTAAGGCCACACTTGGAATACTGCATCCAGTTTTGGTCACCACGATGTAAAAAAGATGTTGAGACTCTGGAAAGAGTACAGAGAAGAGCAACAAAGATGATTATGGGACTGGAGGCTAAAACATATAAGGAACGATTGCTGGAATTGGGTATGTCTAGTTTAATGAAGAGAAGGACGAGGGGTGACATGGCAGTGTTCCAATATCTCAGGGGTTGCCATAAAGAAGAGGGAGTCAAGCTATTCTCCAAAGCACCTGAAGGCAAAACAAGAAGCAATGGATAGAAACCAACCAAAGAGAGAAGTAATTTAGAACTAAGGAGAAATTTCCTGATAGTTAGAACAATTAATCAGTGGAACAACCTGCCTCCAGAAGCGGTGAATGCTCCAACACTGGAAGTTTTTAAGAAGAAACTGGACAGCCATTTGTCTGGAATGGTATAGGGTTTCCTTGCTGAGCAGGGGGTTGGACTTGATTACCTCTAAGGTCCCTTCCAACTTTATTATTATTATTATTATTATTATTATTATTATTATTATTATTATTATTATTATTATTATTATTATTATTATTCCCATTTAGAACAGCCAATTTCATTAAAATGACAAGTCAAGTACTGAGAATGACAACTATTTCATTATTTTAAGGGGACTGTGCTAGCTAGAATCTCTAGAACTAGAGGGTGGCATATAAATTTAATAATACATAAATAAAATAAATATTTGGCCCATTTACAAAGAATGATGACAAAGGAACCTTTTTCAAATCATATTATAAAACTACAAAGGAACTGGATGAGGCTGTCAGCAGGCCCAGAGGATGGGAGAGAGGCTTTTGGAGGAGTTGGTGGTGGCAGCAGCGTTCTCCAGGGGCAAAAAGGAGTGAGGCCTCTTTAAGAAAAAGGTGGAAGAGACAAGATCAGAAAAAGGAAAGGAGGCGAGGTTGTCGTGCAGGAATACAAGCTAATTTGAGGACTAATCCACATGAAGCTCCGTTTCCATCTGTCCTGTTTGCCATCGTTCGCTCCCTAGAGACTAAAATGGAAGATCTGTAACTTGAGCTGGCCACAAA